TGTACTCAAGTACACTGCACCAGTGGAGGTGTTTTTACATGATACTAGCGCGGGCTTATACACCGGAAAATAGGGTATTAGAAAATTTCCGATTGATCAATAGAAACGATGTTGTATTGTTCAGATTCTTCTTACAATGGTAAAGATGGAAATTGAAGGGGAAATGTCCGCCACCACTGCTAGCTGTCAGAAGGTAGGAAACTCTACCACGTATCTTTCTCACTCTGCTTTTTTTCTCGAGCTTTTTCATTTTTTCTACTTCCACTGATTTAGCTCGAGTACATAGCACTGTACCTGACGAGTTTAGGCAGTCATTCGAGTATCCTGGAGCGCCTCGACCAGAGTACTGCGGTACGGATCAAGGAGTATTCACCCCATTGGTCACCAAAAACAACTCGGTTCGAATCAGGTAACAACCACCTGTTATTGAGAGCAATATACCCTCTTTATCGGGCTCCTTAAAGCAACCCCAGAACTGAATTTGGAAGGTTATAACTAACCAAAGAGTGGAGCAGAGAGAAATAGCGCTATACGTTTTGGACTCACAGCGAAAGAGAAAGGAAAAATTCGCTACAAACACTGAAAACGAGGCCACTTTTTGCGGTAGTTTCCGGGACAAACATTTTAAGAGACTTTTACTGTGCGTGAACTGTACAAGTTGTAAGTTGATAGCTGCCAGGCGACATCATGGAGTTTCTCTCCGAATAAATAACAATACTGACAGTTTCACAAGAATGCTAGGTTGTCAACAAAGCGTTCATCCCAGGCGGGACGAACCAACTGCGGCCAAAAACAGCAGTCAACCAACAGAAACAAGTCAAAAAATATTGACAGTATAAATTCATGTAGGGCGGTACTAGACTTGATATTTCGATGATGCCAGGAGACACGGGGGCCTAGGCGAACGAATAGATTCCCCGGCGAGAGAGCACAGGGACAGGCGAGACGCAGACGTCAACGCTTTCATAACGGTGGAGGCGCACATATACGTGAGATGTGCATGAATTCAAGGGCTTCGTTTCACTCGTTCCGACTTTTGAGAATGGGAGATCTTCTGCTGCATGAGCTGATTAATTTATAGGAGAGGGTCTTCACCAGTGGACTAAGAGCAAAATATTTCTTTGAGGTCAAGAAAAAGAGTGCTCCTGCTCACGAGACAAAACCCAGATTTCATAAGGTATCACGCTCTACAATAAGAGGCAATCTTGGGGTGAAAATTCGGGGTTCTTACGAAATCTGTTGAGAGAATTGTTAGGAAATTCCAATGATGGCTCTGGTTGTCTCCAATATGACTAACTCCTCTCTCTAACTCTGTGACTAACTGACGGAACAGGTGTTAACAAGGAAAGTCAACATAAACAAATAAGCTTGCTTTCGCCGCTAGGTCCCATAAACAGATCGAAAGCGCAAACAACTGCAGGCAGCAGAAGACCATTCCAGAATTAAGCTTTTTGGTGGGAAGCTTCACCAAACACGCTGCTTTTTTTGCAGCATCGCCTACATTATTTCCATGCTCTTCATTACCACCACCTTGCCATTGCCTTTACACCCATTTTTCGAAAAAAAAAATCGTCGACCTACGAGGAAGTGGGAATGGACAGATAAGGGTTCTAGAGCAATGGAAACAGTCATAAATTCTCTTACACCCACACTTTCACGAACACTTAATGACCTTTTGTAAAGTAAAACCCCTTTTGGGTTCTAGCCACTATCAGCAGGCCAACTCTCACGCTAACCATAAGATTGAGATTTTCTCAACAAACGTTGTGAACCCATTGACCTACGCCCCTTTTTTGAAGTCATGTCTCATTCTATGGCATTTCAGCTTTTTGACCAGTCCCGACAAGGTAAACGGATTGAAGGGATTCAATATGAGCTGGACTGAAGTGCGCGTTGAAGTGAATCGGTCACGAGCTCAGCGGCTAGTTAGTATCGAAAATCTCAATGGACGATGGTTTTAAATCAGAAATGCAAGGCGACGTGATCTCGTCCGTTTAGTCTAGCCCCAAATACTCATGTGCACCCTCTACCTCCTAACCGCTCGATCTAGCCTCTCCATGTTACGGTGCAATGGTGACGCGAACTGTGGGCATCAGGACGACACCGATGAAACCCATTGTAGGTTGCCGACAGTCGCGAAAGTTTTCGTATAGAAGCCGAAAATTAGTTGAAACCAAACTTAGCGTTTTTGCGGTTTAATAAAGACATATTAAATTCTTCGGCAAGATCATGAATCGCGCAATTCATCCGTAGCACAAGCGAGGGGCCGCGAAGCGGTTGGCAGGTAGATCTGCCAACGTGCACGAGTTTGTGGAGCGAAATGTTCGAAATCGAAAAAAAAAACTGATGAGGATAGCGTTTTAAATGTCTACTCCCTGACTGGTGCGGATATGAACTGCTTCGCGATTGCTCGCTTTATCTATAAACAGCACGGTCGTCACCAATTTCTTTTCAGTGCTAGTTGAATAAATAGTATGAATATCATTGAGATAAAGGGCAGCAGTTTAGCCGTCTAGCTTAGCACCGAAACTTGTTCTCTGCCATTCGCAAAAACCCGCTACATTTCATAGAAATCATTGATAATCTTGAAGGACGAAATGCCTCTTGCAAAAACGTTTCATGTTGCATGAGTATTCATAAGTCCGGTGTTGCATTCTTAGTGTTTACCAATCCCCCGCCGCGCGCGGTCGCGTTTGCGGTGATGCTCACGGCTCGAGTTTTTTGTTCAAGGAACGAATGAGCGTTTTACATCGTTATTACGCTACCAGTAGTAAAGAAAACGGCAAGTTTGCCAAAATAGTTTATGTGATTATTGATAAAGCGAGCCAGATTTTTTCACAGTGATAAGCGTATAATTCATGGCCGCCACGCGACCGAACGCGACAACATGTGTGACCATGTACTGTACAGGAAGAAGTAATTATTTTTGTACATGCAATCGTAAAACTGCAACATAGTGAAAGACAATTCAGTTTTTAGAGTCTTGACCTCGTTGGAGTCATACCAAATGCTGCTAACCATAAGTCCATTGGGATTTTCGCAGCTAAATGACACCACCCTCGAGACTTGAGCCCTAGTCCTTACGTTCTTGACGCACACTGTACCCTTTCCTGCATGCGAGTCATTCACAGCTGAACTATTTGCGATGGGACATGAGAGGCTTCCAGCGAATATAGCATTTCCCGTTTGAGTCCCAGTCCACTTGCGCAGGGCTGATATCAGACTTTGTGAA